CGTGGGGTTAGTGAGGGCCAGTAAATCCCTGGCTTCGCCGTCATGGATCATTGCAGGGAAAAGTGGCACTGGGAAAGGAAATGTGCTGAGCACTGCCAGGACCTGGGGGGGATGACACCCGGGCTCCTGCTCTCAAGTCCAGGAGAGAAACAAGGTCAGAGCAGCATCATAAAAGCCCATGTGCAACAAGGCTTTGATTGAAGCGCAATAACCCTCTGTGTAACTTATTTAAAAGTAAAAGGCAGCGCTTCCCACAGCGCTCACCTGGCGGGAGGGACAGAGCTGGGCTCAGCCCCAGGGCTCCTGGATGGGCAGCTCCGTGCCATGGAGCGATGCCGTCTCCCTCTTCTTTATCGCGCCTTGGTGAGGCTGGGGGAGGAGGAGGCAAAAGTGAATGGAAAAAATAAACCACCTGGAGTCTGGGGGTGCTGCCTGGAAGGGGGGGGGGAATCATGCCAGGAGCGACCCCTGGGAGGCTGGAAAGCTCATCCCTACGTTCCCATCCAACTCCCATGGGAATGGGCCCCCTCTCCCAATTCTTCCCCTCCTGGGTCCCTTTATGGGGATAAAACACCCCACTGCCCTTCCCTGACCAGGGTACAACCCTCGTCCTTGCCCCGGTACCGTCCCTGCCGTCCCCGTCGCTTGCTCCTCATCTTCCCCCCAGACCTGCAGCGCTATGCACACACACACCAGCACAGCACATCGCAAAAACCCAGCGTCGTAGAGAAAGAGCCCGATTTAATGATGGCCAAGGGACTTGTGAAGGGGCTGATGATAACTGGGTCACTCAGCGCTGCGGCTCGGGGAGCAGGGGTAGGACCTTTATCAGCAAAATGGACACAAGGACAAACATCTCCTGCAAGGGGGGGGGGTGATTGCTGGGAAAACAGGTCAGCACAGCCTGGTTTGCAGGTAAAGCTCCTGCTGAGATGGATCTACACTGAAAAAAGCACTCTGCGCCCAGGGAGGACAGTTCTGAGTCCAGCCTAAGCAGTCCAAATGACTTGCAGGGCTGTCCCTAACCCCATGGCTTCAGGGGCACCAGTACCAGGACATCGCTCCCACAGGCTCACCCTCAGACCAGGAGCCCGTCCCACTCCTTGCCAGCCCACTGTTAAATGGGCACGTGGTGCCCAAAACGGTCTCTTCAGAGGTGACACAGAGCTTTAGGTGTAGTTTCCTCTCTTTTCAATCGTGGGAGGATTAATGTCAAACTAGGCAGAGGCTGTCAGACCGCTCCTGATCGTCCCCAGGGCAGGCAGCCACCGCTCCAGCATCGTCTCCGTGTCGGGCTGCCACACCAGCCCATCTTTAATAACTTTTCTACTTTGAGAAAAACAGTGAGTGTAAAACATTGACCACATTTTACATCTTGCGACACCCAACTTCTCAACAAAAGGCAGGATGACATTAAAGGAAAGCTGGAAAGAGCAAACATTGTAATTTCAAAGACATGAAAACCAAAACAAAAACACAAACACAGCTATTTTTCCCTCCGAGCACTCTCACTTTCAAGCTCAATAGCCTTGAAAATTGAAGCAATCAAACTGTTAAACGCATCGATCTGTTAAATCAACTCCTACTGTACACAGCTAAATTTAGCCTTTAATCCCCTCTCTCTCACTCCCAGCACTGCAGATCCCAGGGCTTTCCCCAGCCAGGTCAAGCGGCCTCTGGCTTCCCACGACACCAGGGCCTGGCCTCTCAGCAGCGATGGAGATCACCAGGGTGATGGCATTTAGGGGCAGGTGAAGCTCCTCCATATGCTCCCCCAGCCCACAGCTGGTCACCGTATGCAAGTCTTTATGCTGGAGGTGTACATGAAGACATCTGGGCACTGATTTTTGGCAAGGGTCGTCATCACAAACCAACCAGGAACACCTTGTGGCTTTGGGTGTACACTGACCGGACACAACCACAGCCTGAGCCTTGCCTTTAATGACATTTACACTTGCCAACAGCATCCTCGTGCTCCTCTTTTCATCTTCACACTCATTTAGAAGCAGCCCAGTGCAGTCGCTGTCACAGCAGGGCAAGGCTTCCCCTTGCTCCCATGGCCCAGGAGCGAGCGGTTCCCCATGTCAGGACCAACAGGTTTCAACCAGGGATTAGAAACTGAGCAAACTGGGTTACAGCCCAAACACATCACTGAGAAACCTCAACCATCCCTTGAAAAGCCTTGCTAAGAGACAAACACAAGTGTTCTTCAACATTGATTTATTTTTAAATATACTACGCAAGAGAGACTGGAATAAAAAATAAATCAAAACAATGAAAAATAGAGAAAGAGAGGAGGAAGAATTGGAAGTCGTGTACAGAAACAATCTGTACTGGACCAAATTAAAGGGGAAACGACCCCCTTAAGTATCACAGAGATGAAGGACAGAGCTATTTACACACTGTAAAAAAGACAAGTCTACAAAAGTGTGTAATAACGAGATACAAATGTATAATATAGTGGCACAATATGTTATCAAAGTAAAAACAGTACCTCTAGGAAAGAGACAGTCCAGGGGTTGTTGGGTTTTTCTTACATTTTTAAAGGCAGCCTGTGGCAGAAGTGTGTCTTTCCTTTTGAACATTTGTCACGTGTTAAGTCATGGCTGATCGTGAGGGCGAGAAGTGGCGTGAACACACACGAGTGAACTACTGGAAATCATATACAAGACAAACAGCTCCAGAGAGAACAGAATAAAATACAATTGAAGGCAATTAGTGTTTAAGATACACAAAAGGGGTCACGAGTTACAGGGGAACGGGACGTGGAAAATGCTTTTTTCTCTTGTTTGGAACTGTTAAGAGGAGTTAAATTGCACTGTTAATAGCCCTAAACCTTGTTCTTTCACTATTGTCACAAGTCACAGTTGGTTCCCAGTCGTGTTGCATTGGGAAGGTCACAGGACCTCGGAAAGGAAGCCCCGAGTCCTGCTGTCAGAGTTGGGTGGCAGTTTCCTCGGGAGATGCACCCAAACGTTTGCAGTCTTCACAGATCCTTGTTTGATGCTGGGTGGAACCACACCAGCAGAAAGGCAGCGACAGTTTTAACCCCAAAGTATCTGAGGCATCTGAGCTCGTCACGGGGAGTTAGCACTGGCATGGAAAGGGGGGCACCACAGCTCCCCAAAGCACGGGTCTGTATGGGAGGGAGGAAGCCAGGTCCCACCTCTCCTCACAGAACAAAAAAGGCTGGAAATTCAGAGGAGCAGCAGATCTTGCTCATCCGTGATGTGCAAGCTCAGCCCAAACAGCTGCTGGA